TGCAAGTGAACTCTTCTAGAGCTGAATTTCTGTCAGCTATATCCAAGTTCACGAAGAGAATGAATTTTGTCATTGCTTTTTTACGTCCTTCGCAAAACGTGAAATCAGGCATTTTCACTGGTAGTAGGGCAGTTGACGGCAAAGAAATGTACAAAAAAGCGTGATGCACGTGCAAAGTTGTTGTTCTGCCTTGTCAAGCTAATGCTTATTTGACTTTCTCGTCGTCGCCGCATCTTAAACTTCCTATTATCTATTTGATACGTCAAAAACAGAATATTCTCGGAGCAAATTCAATTGCTCCTGCTGATAGCATCCCAACGTTTTTTCGACTCATCGTTAGTTCCTTCGTTTCTGGTTAGGAAAGTAGAAAATATAAGTTTCCCTTGCCCGCACAAGCTTGGGGAACGAACGAGTATGTCTAAATGTCGCGGGTCGCGACTCGCGGTTGGAGGTCGAGGGTGCGGGTGCGGGTGCGGGTAAAGGTCGCGGGTTAACATAAATCACCAAATTTAACATTAAATTGTTAGTAAAATAAAGGGAAATTTGATTATCTTTCAAAGAAGATTTGTAATACTTCAAGCTAACTAAGGGCGATACAAAGGAAAAAGTCACTAAAGAAAAATCCACATGATTTAAAACTACATTGGCTAGTTAAAACTGCACTAAGTAACCGAGCTACCTGCGTTTGGGATTTGTTGGGGAGGAGGTTAAGGTTCTGATAGAGAAAAGAAAAGTATCAGTGGATATGTGATGACTTGTCTTGGCGGTTGATTCAAAAAACCCTCCGGGGATTTCACCCACTCCCCTACCTTGTACGCCCAAGGGTTTAAGGGTACTAAGTTGCAATAGTACAAAAAAGTAGTTGGCCTTTTGCTGACCTCTATATTATCTATATGTAGCAGCGAAGTGTATTGAAAAGGGAGTGTAAAAATTCAGTGCCCGCCTTAAACAGCCTAAACCTTATCGGACTGAAAAACTAACTTTAACTAATACTTCTTTTTTTCTTTTTTCTGCAAATCACGACAAATAAAATTAATTTTGGTCGCATAAATGCGTAATATCCCAGTAGCTTTTTTTATCATTACCATGTTGCGAGTGATCAGTCTTAAATCTTGTTTCCTCCATGCCTAGTACATTTCTATCTTCATTTTTGAGGAAAAATTGAAAAATCAAAATTTCGTCGGCACCTCCCCCCACCTCCCCGCCCGAAGACCTGGAAATGGCAAGTGAAACCAGGGTTTAGCGCTGTGATAGATTAGACAGGAAAGAGTTTGAAATAGCTATTGCATTTAAGAAGACCTTATAATACTTCAATGAGAACTTTTTTGTTTTTCAACTACGAGCTCTTGAAATTAAATAAAAAGAAATCATTAAGACCTCTAGCAAGATCTTACAAAGGTGGCTACTTCTTTGAAGTAAGAATTCTCCCCTCCCCTTGAACGACATACGATTAGCGGTGATCGTATGGCCCCCAAAATATAACAACACGCAATAACATTCCTTAAAACGTCCGTTTACAGCATAGTTAAGTTATTATTCAGACTTCTATCGGAAGTTTTACTTACGCAGAAAACGTGTTATATATGCTGTTCTTTGTCAGTTGTATTCATTCCCTGAAGAAGTCTCAGTAGGAGACGAAACGTGTCGGAGAAAAACGAAAAAGTGTACAACTACAATTAGTCTTCCTTAGTGCTGCTAACTTGTCTTCGCACCCGCACCCCGCACCCGCACCCGCGACCTCTACGCGCGACATTTAGACATACTCGGAACGAACCGGGCAAGTGTGGCGAGACAATCGCCGTCGTGTACGAACTCACGAAAAGAACTTAGGAGAAACTGTTCGCCGATTGGGCACAATAATACAAAGCATTTTTCGTGCCCAATTAGGAGCCGGCATCCGCTTGAATTGTCGGAAATAGTTCGGTAAGAGTTGGTACCCAGGGGTTCTTTCGCCCGTACTTGAAAACTTTCGTCCCGTCTTTTCTCCCGACCCAACTGATTGCCCCTGGGTCTCCGAGGATGTTCTTACCCTAAAACCTATACGTAATAACATAAAAAACTGATGATGAAAAGCATAAACTTTTTATCCAGATAGAATTATCGTACATTATGAAAGGATCATAATAGCAACATGAAAAATCCTTTTAATTAGCTTTTATTTTAAATACCTGATAGATAATCTAAGTCTCTTACGAGCGGTAATAATTAATCGTTTTCAGCTTTTTTTTAATAGAGGCCCGCATAAAAAATGAAAAAAAGTATCAAAACCATTGCTTAAAAAGATTACCTGGGAAGAAGTTAAGCTCGTGTCTGTTGACGTAAGCCACGACGATTAAGCCAAAACTTTAATTCGCACTTTCTTTTTGCATTTAAATCAGCTCTCGTTTGCCCTCGATATCATCGATCCAGGAATATCTTTCCTCGAAAGCTTTAAAGTTACGATAACATACGCATAAAGACATTGTATAAAGAAAATATTCCTCTTGATATAAAGTAAAAACGTTCCTTTTTATATGAACACACTGCAAAATCAACGTCAACGGAGCTTTCATCTTTGGTAGCCATTTTGGCCACGTGTGTGATCTTTCCGCGAATGACGTCATTCATTGAAAATTCAAGATGGCGCCCAGACTTATTAAAAGAGTGAAAATTAAACGTGTTTTGCAAAATAGCCGCTCATGCAAGCAATCCATGTCTAAGATTAGAATTTGGCGTTGGTGATTCTGTATTCGTTCATATCTTATGTTGTTGTCTACATGAAACCTCCCATGTAGACTCACAGAAAACATACAAGAAATATCCTCGCAGATATTGATGCTTCTGTCTTCTACAAAGAGACAAGACCGAAGCGTCCTAATTTTCCCCTAAGTTGATGATCAGTCAGCTAAAACGAGGAACATTCCTTGCATTAATAAGACCTTATTAACGAAAATGCAGGGTAAATCGTCGACAGAGTTAGCAAAAACTTTATTATATAAATACCATTCTACATTATTCGACTTCTGAAAGAACCAGATCTGTCACAAGCAACGAAAAAAGCTGTCGATTTTTAGTTTTGCTTCAGAATCATTCACCACTTCCGAGACTTCATAAATTACTCTAAATTTGTAACTTTCAACTCAGTACTAATGAATTTACCTCTTAGTAAACTTACCACCTACTCTATTAAGCTTTCCTGTTGTGAACTTCTCGAAAGAAGACATAAAGAATCGTGGCCTTAACCAGAAATGGCGTTCCCTCCGACTAGACGCAAAACCGAAAGAGGTTCTTGTCTAAGATCCGGGATATTTATGAAATAGTTTCGCTCGAACATGTCATATATCCACCTTACAATAGAATTCACGCTCGATCAAACATTACTTGTTATTGGCGGTGGTCGCATTTTTAAAGTTCAGTGAAGTCTTGTTTTATATCTAGCTGGATTCTTAACCAACCTCAAAATAGAAATGAGAGAGGTCATTTTGTACATCAAATTTTACTTTACAATTTGATGACTACGTTTGTTGTCTGGACGTCAGAGCGAGCTTGCCTCAAAATTCTGCGCAGCCCATGCGTTTCGGGTCACATAGTACGAGCGAGTATGTGAGTTCGTTATCGGAATCCCTTGACCGAGAAGGACTGGGCAGAGGCTGTACAGCGACTAGGCACTAAGCAAGGCATAAGGATTCGTTTACGCTCAATTCGCCACTAAAGAAACGAGAAAAAAACTAGGCCTAGGTCAATTTCGCAAAGACGTCTGGGACTGTTTCTACGGAAAGGGAATAAAATTGTCCAATAGCTGACTGGCGTGTCCCCAAAAGCGATCCCAGAAACAATTGCGGGACACATTTCGTCTCCAGTCCCCTCCTCGTTTCTGAAGGAGCAAATGGCATGCCAAACGTTCGGTTAATCCTCACTGAACTAACAATATCACGTCCGAACAAACAAACACTGAATGCATCTTTAGTATTTCATGTACAATTTATTGAAAAAATATAATAACAACAACTATTATACTGTTTCATGAAACATTCATTTGTTTTCGCGCTTTACGCGGCAACAAGTCATACCGTTAGCCAATGAAAACTGGACTTCTATAGATATTAACAATTATAAACGTTTCTGTTGAGTACAAAGAAAGAGACGGTACTATCAGATTGCTTCACCCAAGGAAGCCGATCCCATGCTTTTACGACATATGAATTTATTAAAGTCAGACTTAGCAATATGAATACTTATTATTCCATAGTCATAGAAACTTATTTCATTTGTTCTTGCGCGAGGAATGCATCGTTTTGTACCCTTAAAAATTTAAACTCGACAGCAGTTTGTGGAACCGCTATTTTGAGAGCCTTACGAAATGATTTGCCTCATAAATTTTGTTTTTGGCCTTTTGAAAACTTCAAGTGTGGGAATAAACATTAATTCATGATTACATTTTCTTCGCAACGTTTCAAACAACAAAAACGCTCTTTTCCATTTCTGAAAGCGATGAGTTCACTGTGAATCTTGCTTCCAAATAATAATTCTAATAGCTGCAGTATTTACACTTCAAAATTTTGTGAAGTGCATCTGTTCGACGGAAATCCTGTACCCACATATCGGCATACTGCACTACTGCAGCCGGAAGCTTTACAGACAGATGAGGAAGTTCTCTGGCTACACAGGAGTTNCCTTACGAAATGATTTGCCTCATAAATTTTGTTTTTGGCCTTTTGAAAACTTCAAGTGTGGGAATAAACATTAATTCATGATTACATTTTCTTCGCAACGTTTCAAACAACAAAAACGCTCTTTTCCATTTCTGAAAGCGATGAGTTCACTGTGAATCTTGCTTCCAAATAATAATTCTAATAGCTGCAGTATTTACACTTCAAAATTTTGTGAAGTGCATCTGTTCGACGGAAATCCTGTACCCACATATCGGCATACTGCACTACTGCAGCCGGAAGCTTTACAGACAGATGAGGAAGTTCTCTGGCTACACAGGAGTTGAAGGTTCATGATGATATTATCCGAGGTCAAACTCCAAAACCCAGTTTGAAGGCCAACTCTACCACAGATTGAGGCATTGACTGGTGGTGACAAACATACAGTTCACGCGGATGATCTCCTGGTAGAAGCCGTCTAGGTTCAACAGAAGAAAGTATTATGAATTAGCTTTTAATATCACTCACATTTGACTTAAAAGTGCTGGTTTATGCTTTCAAGCGCAGTTTCCTTCCCCTCCGAGAAATCATTTTAAATAACACACTCCAATAGGCCTTTCCGAGTTCCCAAATCTCTCACTTTCAAAACGAGGCTAAGTGCAAAACCCTTCTAAGGAAAATGAGTTTTTGTACACTAGAATAAAAACTCATTTTCATATCAATGGCTTCGCACTTAGCCTCGCTTAAAGACAGAGGCTTGGGGCAAACGGAAATGGCCTACTGGTCAGCTTGCCGCAACAGACGGCTCTTTCACGCTTCAAATATATAAAATAACGACAAGAAGAAGAGAAAAAAAGAAATACGAAGAAAGTAAACTAAAAGGCAACCTCTTAATGCTCCCTCCTGTAGCATGACACTAGAGCTTGCCTATTTCCTCGCAACAAGTTCGAATTCTTTCTAAACGTACCCGATAACCCAATACTTGAAGATTGATGGAGACTTCTTCTGTTCAGTTGCGTTGTCTGGAATTCGGTGGAACATCACCCCATGTTCGACCACACCCTCCACTCCGGTACATGTAAAACGTGCGTTGGGATTTTTCTGCTTTAAGCGCTGTTGAAGGGAAGATGATATTACAATAACTGCTTGAATTTGGCTCCAGTTTCGCAAATTTGTGCAAAATACGCATTACTGTTATTACAATCAAAATCAACAGTACGAGCGGTAGCAGTCTCCTCAATTAACACCTCGTATAAGATACACTGGCGCATTAAGAGAGAAAAAAAAAATTGCGTCACCATGAGGTCATTTCCAACTCTCTACAAATCAGCGAACGAGAAATTGTTCAGTTATTGTAAAATGGTTTTTCGACGTACCTGCTTGTAATAAGGAGAAAATAATCTACGCATGGAGAGACAGGTTTTCTGGAACGTGTTCACCACCTCTGCATGTACCAGTCCTCCCGTAGTGGGAGCATCGCTATCATTTGGACAGACTACAATGCCATGAAATGAATCCCAGCTCACATAATGAAACAAGGTGTTATCTATACCACCAGTCAACCTAGCATGACAGAAAACACAGTCAACTATGGTCGTGTGTTTGTTGTTAAATTATACTAATTATTGAAGCAAAAATATTACACCAAAAAGTCACGGATAAACGTGGACCGCAACAAAACCACAACCTAAACTCACACAAACTGAGGACGGGCGTAGATGAATACTATTTTGCTGTTTCAAGTACTATTGTGGGTGAAATGTCAGAACAGAAATCAGCCAAGCTATCAATTGAAGGAAGAACTATTTATTGGGGATCTCAGTAGGGACCTTAAGATCTGAGGACAGCGACGGCAGCGACAACGTCGCTGAAAAAGTGAATTCGCGTTCCTTCAATCTTCATCACGATTACTCCAAGTCACTAACTTTGTCAAATGTAGGTGAACCCTCCAAAAGTTGAAATCCTAAGAACCATATCCAAGTTCAGAAAGAGAGGGCAAACTTCGTCGGCGCTTGCGCAGTTCCTCTGTAAAACGTGAAAAGAGGCATTTTCACGTCGTAGTCGTGCTGAGACGGTAAGGAAATGTACAAAAAAGCGTGCCGCACGCACAAAAATTGCTTTTTGACGTTCTCGTCGCCGTTGCCGTTGCCGTCGCCGCCGTCTACGATGGCGATGGCAGCGGGAACGTCTTAAACACAATTGGTTTAGATCGCGTTAACACTGCTCCAGTAAAATGTTTCAATGGACAATTTTTTTCCCATGCAAACCGTTTACACGGAACCGTGCAAATTCTGCTACAGATTGCAGTACTGTTTGCCGTTCAAAAACTCATGACAAGTCGTCGCTGAAAAAGTGAATTCGCGTTCCTTCAATCTTCATCACGATTACTCCAAGTCACTAACTTTGTCAAATGTAGGTGAACCCTCCAAAAGTTGAAATCCTAAGAACCATATCAAAGTTCAGAAAGAGAGGGGAAACTTGGTCGGCGCTTGCGCAGTTCCTCTGTAAAACGTGAAAAGAGGCATTTTCACGTCGTAGTCGTGCAGAGACGCCAAGGAAATGTACAAAAAAGCGTGCCGCACGCGCAAAAATTGCTTTTTGACGTTCTCGTCGCCGTCGCCGTTGCCGTCGCCGTCGTCGTCGTCTACGATGGCGATGGCAGCGGGAACGTCTTAAACACAGTTGGTTTAGATCCCGTTTACACTGCTCCAGTAAAATGTTTCAATGGACAATTTTTTTCCCATGCAAACCGTTTACACGGAACCGTGCAAATTCTGCTACAGATTGCAGTACTGTTTGCCGTTCAAAAACTCATGACAAGGTCTCGCAGGTCCCGTGTAAACGAAATGTAGATCAGCGCAAGTTTTTGTCCGTTTAAAAATTTGTCGAGACCCGTGTAAAAAGGGGTCTCAGTAAGCAAAACAAAAGCTCTGCACGTGCATCACAAAAACTAACTTCGCCCAGCTAACGAAAACTAACTTCGTTGACTTGAAAAAAGTAACGACAAAGGCGATAAATGTTACTGTCTCTGTACTCGGACGCGGTCCCCTCTCGGCTCTCCTCAGTTCCAACTTTATAATTTCTCTACTTTTAAGTAACTGGATGACATGGAATAATAGCGACAAAGTTTGAAGTCAATTTTTCAGCGACGTTTTCCTCGGCCTCAAGGTCCTTAACATGCTCACTTTGACGGTTATACTTACTTTCCTGTGACCACCTGAGACAAGTCCGGCATATTTTCAGGCAAACTCTTTCTGAACGTTCCTGCAGAGTTGAGAGAGAACTGGGACCGCAACGATCTCAGTTTGCCTTTCGCTCCGAAGCTGCCCAGACTTCCAGAACTATCGGATCCTGTGCGGCGAATAACCGAGGGTATACTCCCACTATCATTAGAATCTACTTCATCTGAAAAGCGATGGTGTGAGAAGACAAGGAGCTTATTTGATTTGGTGTAACACTGTTTTAAATAACCACAAATGAGTCTCTGGTTGGACTTTCAATTATCTGACTAACTGATTAATTGATTGAATGACTGACTGAATGAATTACTGACTGTTTGGCTCACTCCTTGACTGAATGGGTGGTTGCAAACAGAATGATCGACTGATTGGCGAAGAGCAATCAATTGAAACGGAAGCTTTCAAATCTCTTTAAATAAGGTGGACAATTAACCTTTTTAACTTGACCAACCGGATGATGTGAGTGTTATACTTCTGCGACTGACTGACTGAGTGATTGTTTTGCAGAGTCGGATTGGCTGCCTTACTGACTCAATAACTGGCTTAATGGCTACCTGGCTAAGGGACTGGCTAACATTGACTGGACTGGAAAACAAACTGAAAGGCTAACTGACTGCTGCCTTGCGCAAAATTCAAACAAA